CCCCACACGGGGTTCTGGCCTCCCTCCACGCGTGTTCTGGCCTCCCCCACACGGGGTTCTGGCCTCCCTCCACACGGGGTTCTGGCCTCCCCCCACACGGGGTTCTGGCCTCCCTCCATGTGTGTTCTGGCCTCCCCCTACACGGGGTTCTGGCCTCCCTCCACGCGTGTTCTGGCCTCCCCCCACACGGGGTTCTGGCCTTCCCCCACACGGGGTTCTGGCCTCCCTCCACACGGGGTTCTGGCCTCCCCCCACACGGGGTTCTGGCCTCCCTCCATGTGTGTTCTGGCCTCCCTCCACACGGGGTTCTGGCCTCCCCCTACACGGGGTTCTGGCCTCCCTCCACGTACATTCTGAGCGGCTATGCCCCTCAACCAGGGGCGGCTGTCACGGGAGGTGCTTCTCTGCACCCCGCCAGGGTTGAATGATCTCAGGAGCGCCTTCCTGGGCACAGGATGGACACACCCGCCCTCTGGAGGGCATGACACCAATAAAGGTGCGGGGTTCTGGGGCTTTCCCTCCTCTGCGGGACAGTGGGTGCCGAGCTGACGCAGGGTGTGCTGGGCCCCTGGTCTCACGCCCTTGGAGGCTCTGTCTGGAGGACCGACCGCACTGCTGAGTTTCCCTCTCACTGGCCACACGGTGAACTGTGACACACACACCCCCCGTCAAGACTGAGGACAGCCACCTGCGGCCACCCAGCCAGGCCAGGAGACGCCGTCACCGTGGGAGACCTCACCGCAGCAGGGAGCTGGCTTCTCCAGGACACGCGGGACTGTTCCCAGGACTGTGGACCTTGCAGCAGCTCCTCACATGCACCACGGTGCACGCCGGGTCCCCGCCCCCGCCCTGGCCAGCCTGGCCCTCCTGCAGGTTCGCTTACCAGCCTTGCCCAGGGTGCCCGGTCCTTCCGGCGGCCTGCTCGCCCTTGCCTGCCCGTGCACTCCCTCCGTGCTGCTGGGCAGTCTCAGCAGCTAAAGAGAGGCCGAAAATAACCCGGCACAAGTGCTTCCATTCCCACAACAGGTGTGTTACTAAGTTAGACCGCACACGTGTCCCCAGCTGAGGTTTGGGGGCACACGCTAGCACCCCACAGCTCCTCAGGGCTTTGCTGGGAGGGTTAGATGGGGCAGAGGCACCCTAAGGCAGCCCCTCCCGCCACCCCTTCTCCTGGCTGTGGGGGCTCCGGGACAGGCTGTCCTGGAGCTGGGATTCACCCTCATCATCATCCGTAAGTTCACACCGCGGAGAGAGCAGCCACGGTCGGGGGTCCGCCCACCAGGCACCAGCGTATGGCCAGGCCCGTCACAGAGTAACGCCTGCGGCACAGACGGCCCCGTGCGGCAGAAACAGGGCACGCTGATCGGCCGTCCTTACAGCTGGAGCAGCGCGGCGGCCACAGCTGGGCCGTGCTGCCAGGCGGGCTGGTGGCGATGGACCGAAGTCCGTCTCACAGGCTCAAGCACGGCTGCACCTACTGGGTGACCAAAACTCCAAACACCACCTGGTAAGAGCCCGTGCTCATGGAACACCTGCGTGGGCCACGCGCATGGACGGAAACATCTGCTGGTGACTCAAGTCTGCTGAGTGCCCAGCGTGTGCCCGGCCCCACCCTCTCATGGCTCCTGGAGATCACCCTTGGCACGGGGTGCCATGATTACTTCCCTTTTACAGGTGGGGAAACTGAGGCACAGGGTGGTACCTGTCCAAGGTCACCCTGGCAAGAAATCACAGCTCGCAGCTGGGACTCTGGGTAGGTGGGGTCTGCCCTAGCAATGGCTGAGCTATACGCTGGCGAGAAACTGTGCCCCATCCTTCCCCTAGACACTGGCAGTCAGCCGCAGGTGCCATGTTTTGCTGCTGGGGAAGGAAGCTCAGAGAGGCTCTGCTCCTACCTAAGGCCCTGCAGCTTGGAGCAGGAGGGTCTGTGGGACGTGGGGACGCCGGTGTCTCTGCCCTCCCACGTCCTCTTCTCCCTAAGGAGGCAGGGCCAACAGGGCAGAGGCAACACTGTGGGCGCTGAGGCCGTGGGAGGAGAGCTGTGGCCCCCCAGGGCGGCCGTGCTGGGGCAGCAGAGGGTGGGAGGCCTGTGGTTTTCGTTATTTTACTTACAGAGACAGACCATGGACCATTTTAAGCAGCCATGTAAACGGCCGTGGGGCAGCGCTGCAGGCCCGTCCTCTCGATCTGTAAGCAAAATAAGAAGAACACGCTGTCAGGAGGGGCGTGGGCAGGGGACCCCGCCCTGCGGGGGACCCGCAGCCCCGCTCTTCCTACTTCTCAGAGGGTATCAGGGATCGGGGTCTGTCGCCGCCTGGGGCCAGGCCACTCCCCTCTCCAGGCCTCAGTTTCCTTCTCTGAGAGTGGGTGATCTCTAAGGGCCATTTTTGGCAGGACTGTTCCAGAATCTACAAGAACCTTGGCTTCTCTGTCGGCAGGGGTGGGGCCCTCGTTCTCCACGCCCTCTTCCCACGCGGCGCCTACAACCCCATCATCACCATCCTCAGGGGCCTGGGCCAAAGCTGCATGTTCTAAAAGTGACCTGAGGCTCAGCTTGGAGTCTCTCAAAGCCCAGGGTCAGCGCTGAAAGGGGAAGCACTGAACAGGAAGAAAGACTCCGCCGGGCGTGGCGGCTCACGCCTCTAATCCCAACACTTCGGGAGGCCGAGGCGGGAGGATCATTTCAGCCCAGGAGTTCAAGACCAGCCTGGACAACGTAGGGAGACCCCATCTCTATTACATCAAAAAAGAAAGAAAGATTTAATCTTTCTGAGCTGAAGTTAGTGGTAAAGGCCACAGGAAGACAGGCTATAGCTCTGTAAACGCAGGCAGTGAGCTCTCTGTCATGGGGGTAATCAAGCGCAGGATAAAGCCTTAGCCCTTTGAGGGTCCACCCAGCTTTAGGGGAGCTTGGTCTGGGTCTCTGCTGCCTATCTGCCTTCCCTTCGCCCCTTGCCCCCACAGCTGCACCACGGCTTCAACTCCAAGATGAATCTGTGCTCCAAGCAGTCACAGGAAGAAAAGCTTCCGGCCTCAAGCCGCCGTTCGGGGCCAGTCTCCCATTGGCTCAGAGGCCAGTCCCCAGGGAGGCTCCGGAGCCTCCAGTCAGGGTTCTGTGGCTGAGCTATGGCCCCTCCAGGGCAGCCATCAGCCAGGGCCAGGGGCACAGCCAACCACCAGGCTATCAGGGACTTGTGTGGAGTAGGATGAACCTGAGGCTGCCTCGGGGTGCTCAGAGCCTCAGACAGGTGCTCCTGCCAACCCAGTGGGACCGAAGCATCAGCTCAGAGGAGAAAAAGCATCGCGTATCTCTTCTATAACCTTCATGCTCCTAAACGTAGCTGGGACCTCACCCCAGAAATGTGGTCCGTGGCAGGCTGAGAATGGAGGGGGCGGAAAGGACCCCCAGCCCCGGGCAGGCCAGCTGCCCTCACATCTGTTCACAGGTTTCCAGAAGCAGAGCCTGCGGCCTCCGCTGGCCCCACCCCACCCCCAGCCAGGAGCATCGGGTCACCAGATGAGCACCTTTGAAGCATGGGCTGTTGGTACATGGGGAAGAGCAGATGGGGAGACGCTTCCCTGAGGGTCCGGGGCCAGGCTCAGCTCGCAGCATTTGTCCCTGACACGGGCTCTGAGGATGTTTGTGGAGCGGGCGTTTTAGGCACTGCACCCATGGCTGCGTCTCCCGTGGTCCCCCCTGAGTGTTTCCTCCCCTAGCGAACCTCTTACAAGAAACTGCAGCCAGCTCAGCAGAGCTGGGACCGCACGCTGGGCCAGCCGCCCTCCAGGACCTGCATGATTGTGACTGCAGCATCCCGCCTGTCGGGAGGCAGGGCCAGGCAGGAATACAGGCTCCATCACATGTGGACGCCCCGCGGGTGCAGGGAGTGGGCTTGAGGCTGTTTGGCTCCCACTGAGTGCTGGGCACGTTTCTGGATGTACCTGCCTACACGCAGCACACCTGCGAGCACCCCATTGGTGGGTCACACCATTCCCCGTCAAGTCAGAAGGCTGGCTTGGAGCCAGCGTCCTATAAACAGGGGCCCTCAATCTGCTACTGGACCCGCCAGCCAATGCTCTTTCCAGAGGGAGAGAGCTGATGCCCAAAGCCCCGTGGAGGAGCAGGCCTCCCGGCCTCAGGGCAGAGCGGGGGGAGCAGGTCTGGCCCATGGCCGCCTGGTGCTCTAGGGACAGTCGTGACATAAAGGGACAGAGGAAGCAGCTCCTCCTCGCCGGTGGGGACCTGGGGCCAGCAGGACAAAAGTCTGAGGCTCCTCCCCAGAGAGGGGCTCCGTGCCTTAGCCTCCTGTCCACTGAGGCTAACAGTCTCCAGCCCTGGAGACACTAACACACGCTCCTGAGCCCCGGCCTCCAGCGGCAGAGACGCTGCCCACCCACCTGCCCAGCGACTGGCCAAGTGACTGGGAACTGACGTCTGCCTTTAAAGCCAAGGCTGCGGCGGTGACTGTGACGAGAGCTGGCTGCTCCCTCCCCATAGCGCCCCGCGGCCCACCCTCGGCGGCTCTGCGCACCAAGCCTGGCCAACCCCTTGCCCAGGGCCTGAGAGCGTTCCAAGGCCCCCACCCTGGCCCCCGTGCTCAGCCGGACTGCAGAGCCCCTGGGATCTGAGCTCCCCCGTGGGTCCTGTGCACAGGTGAGCTGCTGTGTGACCCTGGGAGAGCCCCTGGCCCCGTCCTAGCCCCACGTTCCCTCTGGATGGAGCCTGGCATCCCGGGGCCTGCCAAGCAAGGCAGAAAGCCTGAGGCACAGTGGCCGGCCCTGGTGCAAGGCCTGTGTGGACTCACCTGGCCCCACCACAGCCCCGGGAGGCCCCGAGCTGCAGATGAGGAAGCTGGGGTCCCGAGAGGCCGAGGCGTGGGCCAGGGGCTGCACAGTGGGAAGCAGGGAAGCTGGGATTTGAACTGCAAAGCTTGGGCTCTGGGCCACGCCTCATGAGCTCCTCACGCTCAGGGCTTACAGCAGGTGCTCAGCGGCTCAGGGCAGGAAGCTCAGGATTTCAAATGACACGAGGGGCTCCCCTGAAATACCTGGCCCTCGGCCATCGGCTGGGGGCTACTCACGTGTGTGTGGCGTGAAGGAGGGGGGGCGTGTGGCTCCCTGGGATGCGGCAGGTGGTGGGGGTGGCATGCTGGGGGGTGTGGACCGAGGCTGTGTCTTCACCTCCGCTGGGGAGTCCGGCATCGCTGAGGCCTTAGCCTTCCTGTCCACTGGGGCTGTGACCGAAAGAGAGAGTCGATGAAGCCGGCTAAGTGCAGAGGCCCGTGCCCGCAGCCCCACGGGTTCCCTGCCAAGGCCCCATCACGTGTCTGCAGGCCCAGGTGGGCTCCCAGCAGGAGCAGCCCGCCCCAGGTGCCCTGACAGGCGGCAGATGCCCCACCTGCAGGTGATCGGGGGGCAGAGCCAGGCTGGACAACCGGCTGGGTCAGCTCACCGCAGGTGGCCGCCAGACGGGCCGGGGCCCTCAGTGTGTGGCAGGCCTGGGAAAGCCGCGCCCCACCCCAGGCTTGAGGTTTCTGCAGAGCAGGGAGCGGGCAGTGCCCGAGGCAGCAGTGCCACGCTCCCACCTCCATGCGCACCCCAGGGGATGTTCAGCTTGGCCTCAGCCTCTCCCCCAGTTCTGATTCAGCTGCAGGTCAGGCTGGGATGCAGAATCTGCATTTCCCACATGTTCCCAGGTGGGGCTGCTGCTGCTCCGGCCCCAGAAGCCACAGTTCTAAGACTCCCTGCCACCTTCAGGTGCTAGAAGGCTCCCCTGGGAAGGGAATGCCTGCCCAGGCAGAGCCCAGCATGCGGACCATCTCAGGCGGCAGAACCTCTACTTTAACTGCCTTCCGCCCGGGTGATGGGCAGGACAGCTGAGACGGAGGAGGCGGCATTGATTTCAGGATGGTGAAGCCCGGCCTCTTCCAGTGTGGCCCGCCCGCATGTGGTGGTTCCGGGACAGTCCATGCAGCAGAACGCACAGCTGAACAGCATTCCCCGTGGCCCGAGGCTCCCAGGGCTCTGAGAAGCTTGGCCCAGGGCCAGCTGTGCGGGAGAGGGCCGGAAAATGCTGAAGGCGCTGGTGGGCTGGGACTGGTGGACACTGAACCCCCTGAGCCACCCAGAGCGCAGGACCTGTGGACACAGCTTCCGGGTTAACCCCAGGGCCTGCAGCACAGACCTCCCCCAGACACCTAGAGGCTGAGCCGGCAGCCTGACGGTGGCCGTTTTCGCAGGGGGTAGGGGCATAAGCCTCGGGATCCCCAATTCATCTAAGTCAAGGTCAGCCAGCACCAAGGCTAACTGGAAAGGCCTGGGACCCCCCGCTGAGGCTTCGGGGCCTCAGCGGCTGAGACCAACAAGGTGGGCAGTCTCTACCTGCTCTCACCTGCACGGCCCCGCACGCTCCCCCTGCTGCTCTCACCCGCACGGCCCCGCACGCTCCCGCACGCTCCCCCTGCTGCTCACACCTGTGGGGTCTCACCCATGGCCCAGGGCATGAGCAGGTGAAGCCACAGTTGGCTGGTGTCTGTCGCCTTCATTAGTGAGTTGTGGATGCTGCCCCTGCTTCTCTTGCCATTTCCCCACGCCAGGGGCCCCAGCACCATCGTCAGATGCAGAGATGCCCTGGGCGTCAGGGCCACCGGGCCTCTGTGGAAGGTGACCAATACATGGCTTTTTCGGCTACCACGTGCCAAATGCTATGCAAACCTCACAGATCCCCTTGCCATCTGCCTCTTTTACGGAGGGCAGAGAAGCTCAGAGAGGCCGAGGTCCTGCCCGACATCTCAGGGTGGCGGTGCCCGGCTGTAACCAGCGCCTGTGCAGGCAGGAGTGGAGAAGCACCCCCCCAACCCTGTACCCTGTCTGCTTGGTGTGTGGTGAACAGCGTGGCGAGGAAGCAGCAAGTAAGCAGCCACCCAGGCCTCGTGGCCCCTGCTGTCCCCTCCACACAGCTGCTGGCCTCACTCTGAGGGGTGCCTGCCCCTCCTGGCCACCCACCTGCCCGGAGGCTGACGGCTGGGAACACGTGTGGCCACAGCTGTGGGGGCCGTCAACACCTCCTGGCTACAGGGCTGGTGGCCAGTCCCTGGTGACAATGCAAGAAGGTGGGTACGTGGGGCATCCCTGTGGGGTGTAAGATGGTTGAGTGTGGTAGGGCGTCCCTGTGGGGTGCTCCCATTCTGATCAGGCTGCCCTTGGGCCAGAGAGGGTTGGGCACGCTCAGAAGGGAGCCAGCAGGGATGGGGTTGGGAGCTTCAAGTGCCAGGCTGGCTCTGGGGACACGGGTCCAGGACACTGGGGATGCCACCTGTTTGGACCTTTCATAGCCCTCCCACGGAGGCAGCTTCATTTGAGCCTTGAAAATCGATTAAAACAGAAGTGGCTGCACAGAGAGCCCCCTCCGGGGAGCTGCTGCCGGGCGCTGGGTGGGCTTGTGGGGTGGACGGACATGCCACGTTTCCTAGGGTTGAGAGGGTGGCCAGGAGCCGGGAGCTGTCAGGCGGCGGCACAAGGACTTACCACAGTCATCATCCAACAAGAGCTTACGGCCACCGCCCGCGTGCTTGTGACATGCTGGGCCCGAAGCCAGAGCGGACAGTGCCCGTCAGCGCCCGGGGCAGTCGGGATTTCGTGGGTTCCCTTTGGGCAGAACAGTGGCTGTCCCTTTACCAGGAGACCTGGATAGCGGCTCACCGCAGGACCGCAGGGAGGCTCTTCTCGGTGATTTACAGATACCGAGGACTCCTGTCACCCTCATGGACCCTGTGGTGACGCTACCAACAGCCCATTTTACAAGGAGTGATGAGGCTCAGAGAGGTGACTCCCACCGCAAGTCTGAACCTCGACCCAGAGCTGCCCCCACAGGGCCGGGCTCTGCAGGACTTCCAGGTCCCGGCTTGTCACCAATGCACGTCCTCGTTCTAGGGCTCAGGGTACTTGCAAAGAGGCAGTAGTTCTGGAATTCAAACCGGAGGCCGGACAGAGGCTGCGGGGGGCAGGAGGCCCCGTGCCTGAGGCACACGCTGGGGAGTGGCTGGTGGCCTCCCCTCCGCTCTGCGGGCCCCACCCCGGGCTGTGCAGGGCAGCCGTGCAGGTGATAGGACCTCACAGGGTTTGCTGAATCCTGTCTGAGTGTTCCTGGCTGTGTGGCCTAGGGAGAGCCTCTTCCCCTCTCTGAGCCTCACCTTCCTCCTCTGTACCTGTGGAGGAAGCTGACTGACAGGTGATGACGGGGAGGTCCCCACACCCTGCCTGGCATGCAAGGGGACCGGGCCGAGGCTCATGGAGCCAGGTGTGCCTCGGCCTGCTCCTGCGGCTGCCCCCGGCGCAGACTCCACCCAAGAAAGCAGAAGTGACAAGGACTGCAGGAAGACGAGGGTGAGTGCGGATGCTTAGAGGAACAGGGTTTGTGGTCAACGAAATGGCCTGGGGAGGAGGGACCTGGGAAGGAGAGGGGGTGGGGTGAGGGCAGCAGGGAGTCGGGGGTCTGCACAGCAGAAGCCAGGGCCGTCTCTGGGGGGCACATAGCCTCTCTCCTGCTCGAGACCCCCCAGCAGCTTCCACTGCACGTGGGGCTTCAGTCCACACCACGCCCTGACCCTGCTCTCCCCCAGGGCTCGGCCACCTCCCCTCCTTCCCTCTGGGATTCAGCTTCAACCTCACTTCCACAGGAGAGGCTGCTCCATCCCCAGAGCTCTTCCAGCCTCCCCCGTTCACTTCCCCAGGACGTCCCCTCACTCAGTGGCCCTGCCTCTTGCCGGACTTGTTTGCAGGGTCTCTGTGCTTGACTGGGTCTCCCAGGAAACAGCTCAACCCGGGCAGCCTCCCAAGGAAGTCCCCCAGGGAAAATGCCTCTTTGGGGTCCACCCCTTGGGGGCTGGAAGGGAGCAGAGAGAAAAGTGGGGGTGAGTGGGTGCAGTGGTTAGGGGCAGGGCTGCCCAGCTGCAGGACACAGGGGGTCGGGGCTCAGGGCAGGGGACCCACAGCTGCCCTGGACACCCACCTCCTTGGAGCTGGCTGGACAAGGAGGCACGGTGGGTCCACCCCACAGCCGCAGAGGGAGGCCGAGTCCTGCTGGCCGGGCTTCCTCGGACAAGCCACAGCCTGGCCGCCATTTCCTCGCGTCTGGGCCGGTGCAGCATGGTCCCTCACCAAAGCGATGGAGGGGAAGCCATGCTCTGTGGGGGCCCAGCACTCCCTGCGATCACTTGAAATGGTGGCTGTTATCCTTCTCCATCCCTGCACACCCAAGCAGTGTGGGGAGCCCCCGCTGGTCCGCGGCCCCACCAAGGCCACTGCAGCCTCCTCTCCAGGTGAAGGCACCACTAGACGGGCCCAGCCTCGTCCTTCCAGGGCGCCTGGCTTCCTGCCCCACTCCCCGCTGAGGCCCTGCATCTCGGACAAGGGCCATTTCCGCTCCCCAGGCCTACTTTGAGGCTCGGAGGCCCCGTGGGCTGCTGGCCCGTGGCTGTGAACCACGGAGGAAGAGGCCTGGCCCATCTCCCCGTCCCGGGCACAGGACCGCTCACTGGCCCTGTTCCCGCCTCCATCTGCAAGACGGCCCGTCCAGACACGGAGAACGCATCATCAAACCACTTGGAGAAATAACTGCCGGCACACAGGGCCCCTGGTGCTACACAGCAGACCCGTGTCCTGGCACGGTGGTCCCCAGTAACCCCGGGGCTCAGCAGCGCCAGGAAAGGGACAGCCTCTGTGTCAAGGGGTTTGTGTCTCAGGGCAGAAGAGTGAAGTGGCAGGGAGGGCTGACGTCATGGAGGGCTGATGTCGTCATGGAGGAACCCTGCTTCCCAGGCCTGTTCCCAGCATCCTCTGCTCACTGCCCTGTGAGGCAGGAGCCGTAACTACGTCCGCTTTCTAGATGGGGAAACTGAAGCCCAGGGAGGGCAAGGGACTTATTCTGGGACTCAGAGCCCGGAAGCACCAGAGTGTGCGCCTGGAGCCCCCCTCGGCCGCCCAAGGGCCGCACACGGCAGCCACCGGGAGGTGAACCGGCCGACACCAGCCAGCCTGGACCTGACTTGGCAGCACGGGGCCATGTGGCCCTGCGGGTGTCACAGGGGCCAAAGGGACTCTGCCTCGCACTCGAGGCTGGGGTGGGTGGCCTCGTTGCCGTAAGGGATGTGGGGTTGCGCCCGGGGTTGGCTGGGCTCTGAGGCGTGATCGTAAGGACGGTCGTTCCAACCCTGAGGGGGCTTCTTTCCAGAGC